ATCGTGACACAGAAGGTCAGGGTGACTACGACTGACCTATGCCCTCAGACTTCCATGTGAAGCCTGGTGGTAGGTGGGCCATCAGACAACCATTTTCCAAAGCTGAGCCCCGAAGGCTGTGGGGAAGCAAACTTGAATAAGGGACTTGACTAGAAACACCAGGAAGTAATAATTAAAAGGACTACCTAGAGAGGATTTGAGTGCCCTCTGGAGGAGGGGATGTTGACAGGACATCACATCCTGGAACCTCACTTTCTGACTTCATTGCAGGTGGGAATATTCCATCAACCAGGAGGTGGAAAATGCTCATACTGTTCATGTAACAGTGATTTTCTTGTGAAAAGAGATTGTGACCAAAGTGCAGGGGATGCTATATAATTTAGACTTGTTCATCAGACGTTCAACTGAGGTCCTGACTCTTTGTGGTCATGAAAAATCACAGGGTGTTTCTCGAAAAGAGTAAGGGTGTTACCCTGGTGACCTGGCCAAATTTCCCATTGGCCTTTATTAATCATGGCCTCCTAATAATCCCCATCTATGGACTGGCTCCATCACTGTTCTCCTCCCCACTGAGAGCTGTGTTGGGAGTGTACTGGTGCAATATGGCTGCTGTTGGATCATCCAGGTGGGGCTGCACATTTGTGGTGGTGGTGGAGGGGATCCCCATTACCTGTAAAGTGGAGTGTCCAGAAAAGCTCTATATACGGTAAGCGTAAAAAAATATTATTATTAAGACATCAGACAGTTGTAATCTGGTGCAAAACTTTCAACAAAGGTCACACATGCTACTAGTCTTCACAGTAGACCCAGTCTTCATGAATCCTGTTAATGACGAATTTCAATATTTAATATTAAGGTACATTCATAATTAGTATAATTAATTTACCTATATCTGTCATACCTGCTCTCGGCGAGTGATGAAACACTTGGAAGCATTCAAAAAGCCCAGTGGTTGGGATGTGAATCAATCTGCTGATCAGACATCACGATCAGGCACATTATCAGTCCCACCAGTGAGTAATTCTATCAGCACTTACCTTGTTCCAGCAGGGTATAGAACCCAGCATTGACAGTACTTCCCTACTCAGTGTTTGCTCTTTGTCCCTCAGTCCTGATGTTTTTTTACTTGACTTCTGTGGCATGGCTCACTGTCTGTTCTCTCAACCTTCTCCCTGGATCTTCCTGTGCTTGACCCAGACTGCTTTTGCCTTGTGAATTCCCTCCTTTGCTACTGACCTCTCGCTTGCCTGAACACATTTCTGGATTTCCCATGTTTTTCTGTCTCGAACCCCTGCTGCAGGGGCTGTTCTACTGCACCTGACACTGTGCTCTCTGGCTCTGTACTGCTCCGATCACAACAGCCTGCTCACCTGTCTGCCTTCGCTCAGCAGTTTGCTGGTCTGTTCCTGCATTCGGATTCATCAAAAGCCCAGACAGCTTTATCCTTCCTGGTTGGCACAGCCCTTAGTACAGAACCGTGTCTGTTCAATAAAATGACAGCACACCTGCTAAAGCAGGCTGGTTATTTTCCTGGCAATACCTTTATTGCCGTTTGCAGTTATAAGTCCTGAGATTCTTTTGACACTCAGCATAATAACATTCTAAAATACTGATTCATTTACTGTCACAATCGAGATCCCTCCTCTTAAGGGCGCTCTGACACTTTCGTATTTTAGTGCACCTGCCCCCTGTTCTGTCTCCTCATTTAAGACCACTGCTTCCACTATGCCTGACTCAGCACTGGGAGCTGGATGCCTGGAAGACAGCCTACCACCAGGTTCAGGAGAGACCCGACGGCACAGGCTTCATCAAGTCGTCCTGACCATCTGAGTCTGGGGCTCGGAGTGCCTGGTCTTGTTACCTTCGTTTTATTCCCTGTTCCTGTTCCGGATCCCGTTCCGGATTATAACTCGTCTTGGTTGGATCCCCCAATTTTGGACTTTGGACTGCGCCGCAGATTCCCCCTTTTGGACTTCCCTGATCTTGTTTGCCATCGGCACACCCCCCCGAGCACTGGATCACTGACGTCACACCCCCCTGTCTGTCCACCCATCCTGATCTTCTTTGTCTCCTCCCCTGATGTCCTTCTCCACTTACTTCCGGATTATTACTTCCTAAACTAAGCTTCCCGGGAGCCTGGAGCAGCTCCTGTTACATTTACTCCATAAATGACAGATTTTGTACATTTGTGTATGCAGCTTATACAGAATTCATTACTACAGTTAGCAGCAGCAACAACAACAATCATAAAAAAACTTTATTTTATATGTAACACCTTTAAAAATAGCTTCTCAGAGAACTTTACAGGAAAACTAAAAAAGTTAACCTTAGGAAATAAAAAAATAGCAAATTGTAGAAATACAGAAGATAAGGCAGAGGATTGCTTGTTGTCTTCATAACATGAGCTTTCAACTTCTCAAGCAGTTGGTCAGTCACCATATTCATTTATTTTAAAACTAAACAAAACACAAACAAAAACCTACTTTGAGCTACTATTTCTTAATTCTCTTCCAATAAACGTTGTTTGTGACATTACAGCAAATGCTGAAAATTCATAGACTGCACCTCCGTTTGAAATGTAAAATAACATTTCATGTGATCATGAGAGAGAAAACCACCTGAGAACATAGCTCATTCTTATGATAATAACACACACACAGCCTTTTTGAGCCCAAACAGATTTCACAAGAACAGTGTTTGCGAAAGACTTTTCAATCAGATTAAATATTGTAAGAGGAGTGTGTTACAGACAAGATGGAGATTCTTGTTAAGATGGTGAGTGAAATGACTGAAGTGTGAGTCCATGAAGTCCTGCACTTAAGAGTCTCAGAGACTTCACTGTGAAGTCAGTTAGCCGGTGGGTTTTTGCTGCCCAGTTATTTTTAAGAACGGAATTAAGAAATTGTTAGTACCTCAAAGGGGAGCTAACATTTTGTTTTGTTTTTTATTTTGTTTGGTTTTACCTTGTTCTTTAAATAAAGAGGTTTGAGCAGGGAGCTGCAAATGTTGGCCCATTGGATCCAAACGAACAAGTAAATCTTAATGTCACATTGAAAAATAGAAAAAAAGAAATACACCATTGCAGTTGCTGTGCCTTCTCTAACAGCTGAAACGTTTCTTCTTTCTATATCTCAGCATGAAATTTACCTTTATCTGTTCATTTGCTATAAATAAAGAGCCCTACTTTTTACCTCACGGCTGCAATTGTGTCTCTGGTCCTGGGACGCATTTAAGGATCCCATTACTGCACCCTGTCCCTGGGTATGCCATAATGTTGTAAAAGGTACTACTCAAAGAAAAGGAAGAAAACAAGGTTTTAAAAAGAAGCTGTACAGTATCTGTTGATGTTCAGACAGTATTGAATGTAATATGTAAATCTGGTTACATTCTTCTTTGTACTCGTTTCTTCAGCAAAGTGAAATCCCTCTACAAATTATAACATTTATAATGTAAATTTGAGAAAAAGGAATTGTAAAGAATCTAGGCTGCTTTCATATTTTAAACTACCCTTTTCAGTGCTGTACACAGAGAAAACTGGAAATCCTACTGAGAAAACATTGAGAAACCCCAATCAAGCTTCCTTCCAAAATTGCAGAATTATCTATGAAAATTATTTCTAGCATGTGAACAAAAAAAAATCTTCTTTCTTGATGCATACAGCCATTTAAATAACAGTAGACTTCAAAATAGCTAGCTACTCTATAAATGTTAAATTAAAAAAGGAAATTGCAATAGTATTAAATACAAACTGTTCAGGAAACATCTGAAGAAAGTGACTGATAGAAAAGATAGTGGTTTAGAATTTTTTTTAAAGAAAACTCGTTTGATTAAAAGAACGATACTCATCTTTCGGGTAACACTGAAGACATACAGTACAAATGTGTAAATGTACAACATATGGAAATGCAATTCTTACATTTTAACAAATATTCTTCAATTTATTTCACAACACAGTTAATTTATACTGTTCAGCGACTATTCTATTTGTACTCAATCTCTTGTAGAGTTATTCTTGTGTTTTTGGATTGTTTGCCTCGGCCACACCTCCCCCGTGCACCAGCGCACTTTGGACAAGCCCCCCTGTTTTCAGCCCCGTATTCCTGCATGACGTTTCCCTAGTGTTTCCCCACTTCTTCGGATTGTGTTGTCCGCATAGGGTCCGGAAAGAACTGTTCGTTACACACACCTAACAAGTATTTTCTCCCACTGTCACATTAGATCAAAATAAGGTGTTAAATCATTGAGTATATTAAAATCTTCATTTGAAGAATTTTTCATACTGATATATATATTGTAACGCAACGGGGGCTCAGGCGGGCGCCCTTGCCGCATCTGTTCGGCCCCTGCACCGTCCGGGGCTCGAACCCGGGACTTCCGCGTCTCTCTACAGCGACCTAGCCCCGTGAGCTAAAGAGAGATCTCTCCACAGCCCAGTAGCTGTGGTCCTGCTATCACAGGGAAGGGCGGTGACGTCACCCGCTCTGGTACGCCGGCTCTTACACACAGTGCTTGTCGGCCGTAAGCGTTACAATATTGTGCCCCAATATGGACTGGCATCCCTTCCAGAGTGTATCCTGCCTTGTGCCTGTTGCTTGCTGGGATGAGCTACAGCTCCCCCACTACCTTGAGTTGGCTAAAATAGAAAATGGATGGTACTGTATATATTGTCACTTAGCAATTAGTATGAGCTCATCACTGAATTTCTTAACTTATTGTGCTTCTTCACTGTCAGAAGCATTCTGCACTGTTCTTGTCATACTGTCAGTGTTTTTCACTGTATGTTCATAATATGGCTCATTTAATAAATATTCATGAGCAAATTTTAAAAGAGTGCTAAATTTACACACTGTGTTCAGGTTTTGGCTCCCAAACAAGTTTTTACTAGAGTAAGGTGTGTCGGCATCCTAAAGTTTTGGGATTCCTTAAAAGCTGTGTCAGGGCAGAATTTTATTTTAAGTACAAAAAATTAGCTCTTCTTGAGAGGTTCCTGTTTGTGTCAGCAAGCGATCAAAGTTGGTGAAGCCTTTAGTGATCACTAAAGAGGACTGACTTTCATAGCAACAAAAATGAAAGTTTAAGAAATTGTGGCTTTTGCAAGGCTGTGCTGTGACTTGCAAACTACAGAAGCAGGAAATGAAGCATTCTGAAAGCCTGTGGAGAAGCATTTTGATGTAGGTAAGCAGGACACATCAATATATTTTCTCTAGCTTTCTTAAGGAAAAGTTGCAACGAATGGAAATTAGAATTTGCAATGACAAAGGACAATGTCCTTGATAAAGATAAACACTACTTTTTAGAAAGTTATACCTAAATGCCACTATCTACTGTATGTTAGTAGAGTCAAGGGCTAATAGCTTTCTTCTCTTGATTCTATCCTGACCTGGCTTATGCTGCATTATTTGTTAGTTATGACTTTAAACTTCCTTTTCTAACTCAAGAATAAGAATTTGCGAATAAATATGCAGTGCACTGTACATGAATTGGAACAGTTCCAAGCCTACCTGTGCTCTCATTAAACAGAAAGGGCACAAACAATGCACCAGTCTACAAATAGCAGGAACTTCTCTCACATTTTTAAAGGTTTTAACTTCTAGTTACACCCCTATGCCAGAGAAATAGAAACAGCATATACAATACATGAGTGTACACCATAAGCTTATTTTTAGAGTAACATATATTATTGGTCATGTTTTATGATGGTTTTATTTGCACTGTATGTGCCAATATAAATTGAGATTTGTATAAACTTTATTTTGATTTTTATTCTGCAATATATTATACAGTGTATACAGAATGTATCAAATAGACATTGTATATCAAAGTACAATATGTTTGCTGATGTTATAAGATGTGCTGTATGCAGCATATTAAATTAATTGTCAGCAGTGTCGAAATTCATTTTCATGCAGATGAAAATATTTTAAATGGCATTGTACTGTACATGTTGAGCTATTTTCAAATATTGCAGTGTGTTTGGGAATGTTTTTCTTCTATTTTTATGTTCAAGGACTTTCATGTACATATCCTCACCATTTCTTTTCTTGGGTAAAACTGAAGTATGAAAAAGGCAAAAGCTTCTTGTTTTCTCATACATTGCAGGATTGTGTGAGTTAAGCCATGTACAACATACAAATTTCTATATACTGTGGAAGTGCTACCAAAAATGAATGAAAGCAACTTTGTAGAAAAGGTCCTGACTTAAAATCTGTTTTCAGTTATTCAAAAGAACTGGTTACCAGGAGATAACATAAAGTCTCCACATTAGTTGATTCAAATAATCTTAATACTAATGCATAAATTGCTAAAAAATAGGAATAAAAATCTGTTTTTATACAAACATTACTTTGTTAATGAAATGACAAGCAATATACTTTCAGCTTTAGTGCTGTCTATTATTATAAACTGTAACATCTGTGCACATAATGGAATAAATTATCAGATTATTAATGTTTAATAAAACCTATCAAAATCAATTATCTCTTCCTCAGCAACTTGACTTTGGCTCTAACCTGACAATTTAACCCTAACACTGTCACACTTCAATGAAGTAACGGGACTCAGCAGCAGCAGCCACAACTGCACAGCAGATGCTGGTGGAATATTTTGTTTTCTAATTACCGCTGGAGTCAGGATATTGTCAAACTCAATTCTTCTACCCTTCCATAAGAAGACACTGCAGCGTAAACAGGATTTTTTTTTACAAGGAGTCTTATTTCAGGTGCTCACAGGAATGCAATATGTAGAGTAAAAATGTGAAATTCTTCCTTCACTCATTTATTCTGGTTGTCTAAATTTACTTCTGAGCTTGATTTTCTATTAAAGATGATGCGTAAGTAAACAAGGATATAAAAGCAAACCAAGCAGTATCTTCCAGTGTTGTCTTAATTATTTATGTGTTCTGTGCAATATTGTGCTGTGCATATAGGTTAGTAATCACAGAGGCAATATTTTAAATTTATCTAAATTAGCAAAACCTCCTTATTGGCTAAATGCAGTCTTCATTGCAGATTATCTGGATCCCTTGCAATTTGCCAATAAAAATGTAGGATACTGTAATTGCAGCTTTAACTTTAGTGAATCTATTAGCTACTCATCTGCAACAGGCAAAGTCGTACAGTGTGTTATTAATATTAGTTCAAGATTTGTTAATATGATCCAGACCCTCATTGAAACAGCTGTTGAATCTGGATGTCAATGGGAGGCTTATAAAATGGATTAATTATTTTCTAACAGATCGCCCACAGCGGGTTCTTATGAACTGTACATTTTCGAATGAAATTGTTTTAAATACTGGTGTTCCCCAGGGCTGTGTTTTGTCACCTTTACTATTTCCCATGAATGAAATTAAAATGTAGGGAACATCTACAGTATTAATCTGTTAAGGTATACAGAGGATAAAGCCCTAGCAGGATTGTTTACTGGGAATGTTAGAGAAAGGATGGAGAACCAAGTTGGTGTAAGTCAGGTGTGCTTTATATTAAGTTTACTGGGAATGTTAGAGAAAGGATGGAGAACCAAGTTGGTGTAAGTCAGGTGTGCTTTATGGTTGTTGATAAACCAAAAAACTGGCTACTTATGATTGTAATATGTTTGATTTTCAACCTCTCTTCCTTGTTAATCAGACTGTGGAGGGTGTTCAGTGCTTCAAATATCTAGGAACAGTAATAGGTAAACATTTCGCAGAGAATAGCAATTGCATTTTTAAGAAGGCTAATCAGTGTATATATTTGATCACTAAGCTCTCAGGTGAGTCAAAATATTTCAGAGAGGGTTTAGAGCACTTAAGTAGAAAACATCCTTACTTTTGGTATCACTGTGTGGTACGGTAGCCTGAGTATTAAGAGTAAAGGGAAATTGGACCAAACTGTTAATATTGCTAGTAAAATAATCAGTCGACCAGAAACAGTTTAAAGAGCTGTATTATGTTGCAGTGCAAAAGAAAGCTCAGCTTTTTCAGCTGATCGTTAATTAGCCCTTCAACACTCTTCATTCCCATTTACAGCTGCTTCCTTCAACAGGGCAGTTTAGAAAGCCTGTGGCCAAGAAAAATGTCCACTAGAAATCCTTTGTTCCCTGTGCAGTGGGTACAATAAACACAGCTATGTGACTATTTCGCATTTGGAGATTTAAGATAAATAAAAGCACAGTGAGATGTGTGTATAAGTATTATTAAATGGCTTGGGCAATTGTTTGTTTTTAACATGTATTTAATTTATGTTGAGCTTTTTGGGCAAATATCCACTCTTTTGGATGAATAATTAAGTTATATACATAAAATAAACTGAAGCAAATTAACAATGTCTGTTGACTCAACATTTTCTTACGCATTCCTTTCAATTTAGAACAACATCCAATTTACTAGAGCAAAATATTATATAGTATTCATTTTTTAAGGCATCCAGGATGACTCCCACCGGTATGTGTAGTAAATAAGTTGCATACTTTGCCTTACTTTTGCTTGAATTACAGAACAGGAAATATGGACACTTATATTCTCAGGATATCTTTGCAGCTTTCACATTTCACACGTTTCACATTGTTTAGTCTCAAGAGTAATTGAAGAATTTAAAAGGATATAAAATTAAGAACTTATGTTCAAAATCAGAAGTAATGGGAGACTTCAACTCTTCCATCTTAGACTGGGAATAGCCTATAGGAATATTAGCCTAGAAACTGAAATGGTAGACGTGGTGAAAGACTCCTTTCTATACCAGTTTGTCAAAGCACCTACAGGAGGAAATGCTTAGCTTGTCTTTTCACAGTCAAATGAGGCATTTAAGATGAGGGAAACATAATCACAACAAGGTGTGCTTTGGAGTATATTGTGAAACAGTACAAGGGTCCAAAGCAAAAGTTTACAATTTCTGGAAAGCAGACTTGACAATTATTTAAAGCCAGCTGGACCCAGTTAAAGACAAGCTGCAATGGATTCCTGTACAAGCACAGGTAAAAAGGATATCAAAAAGGCAATGGAGGCTGAAATAAATAACCAAAAAATTAAGTATTTCATGAAATAACAACAAACGAATTGTCAAGGAGGAGAAAAATGTATCTGGACAAAAATAGGAAACATCTAGACAATGAAAGTTAAATTATATTAAATTTCACTCAGATGTTTATTACAGAAAACGTCAACAAGCACAACATGCCTTGTCAACATCATGGCAGCAGAATTAGCATAGAAGAGGCAGCAGTGCTTCTGGTACAAGACCCTTCAGGCAGGATGGAATCTTACCAAATTTCTTAAGTAAACAAGAGATGTTTTCAGAAGCCATTGATGCAATTCTGCCCACACTTACACAACAGATACAAACATTCAAAATCCTCAAAGACACTGATAAACTCAACCTTATGCATTTCATCAGCACCAACAGAGAAGTACAAACCACACAACACAAGTGAACATTTTGTGAATGTGCATTTAAAACTAAAAGCAAACTGCTGTGGAAGTAAATACTCTGTTCAGAGCTGAACAAGGTCTTCAGAACTACTGTAACAACTAAATGAGGCACAGTAGATGTATTGAATGTTCTCTGTGCATTTATACGTTTTCTCACGTTCCAATGCTCTTGAGGGAATATAAAATGATGCTTCACTACAGACAATTCCTATTGACCAAACCATTTAATTGGATTTAAAAGTCAATGTGTATGGCGCATTAGCACAGAAGATGTGTTCTATCAACGCGCTAATATTAGCAGAGGCTCAGTACTTATATATGCAGCGAATAGTGTTACAGATACAGTAGGGGATTACAAAAATTGAGGAAAATACGAAATAGGGTAATCAATACGTAAATAAAATAATAATAACCCCCAAAATATGACAAGAGATTAATATAATTGGAAGCAACTGAGTAGTTTGCTCTCTGGCATAGCTTTGATGAAAAGACTAATAATTCAGGCAAACTGAATTACTCTTTTCATTAACAAATTAAATGGGTTTCACAAAATTTAACAATGAAAATACACACACAAAACACACAACATACAAGTTATGCTACGGTATTTGCAAATTTAAAAACAAAGTGTTCCAGAGGCCTACATCCTGGCCACCCAGAAAAACCCAGACTGCTACTAATTATCAAAATCATCTATAAAGGAAGTCTAGCTGTAAAGATAAAGCTGCCTTCAAAACCAACAGAATAAGACCTACAGTTAAATCTGTCTTTCTAC